CTTAACTTTGGTGATACTAGCTAGTTTTATGAAGTTTGGTATATATCATGATTGTGGGGTATACGCTGCGTTATTAATTATTATATAACTGTAAATTCTGGGTCATGATGACTATGTAAAATATTAGAAAAATTTTAAAAATCTTTTTGTAACAATCGACGATAACCGCCATAAAAATACTGATTGAACTGCATTTCTTTGTGTGTTTTCTTTGGCCGAAAAGTTTTTGGAACATTTCCAACTCAACCGACGTCATCACAAATGCATCACTATAGCTGAATGGATGAAATTGAAAATAAGTTGATTACTGTATATTTTGCTGCAATGGCAATATACCTCCGCTGTCTATAGAGTATAGTCTAGTAACAGTTGTTGAGCTTTATTCCTTTAATATTATCAGTGTCATGAATCTCGTCATGAATGATGTATAACAGCCAACAAACAGGCCACGTTTTCCAAAAGCTCAAAGAGAGAAAAGTGAATGATAATGGATTATAAGAGAAATATTATCATCGTCATCGAAATGCTGCCATGCATGTGGTTATTTTTTCCAAGAAGATAAATCATTAAAACCATTAGCCTGTGTTACTACTACTGTACTCTGAGGTTAATAAATATGGTAGGAATAAATCATTAACACTTACCATTTAAATCATGCAGTAACTGCAATTTCAGACTGAGGAATAACCGCAGTGCAGTTGGTGCTGCTAATCCGTTATCTTTATTTAATATATGTATATTATTCATTATTACAAATATTATAATTTATGAAGGTTTACTTACATGTTGTAGAGCTTTGTAGCAGAAACCAAGACAAAAATTGCCTTGTTGAATCAAGGGTTAGCTCGTCACGGAAGTGAAATTATATATAGTATATAGAAATTATAGATGCACTGGAGTACAGTATGGAATCTCAAAATAGGCCGATAACAAACACGTATATATCATGTCCCTTGATGCCTTAATCCTTCAGATAATGCTAAACAAATCTAGCAAGAAGTTTCATTATGGCTTAAAATAAAGAGATGAAGCTGAGAAATTCTTGGCATAACCGAATACATTTAATTAAATTGTTGGTGCTTTGGTTGTTTGCTTTAGTTTAATGAGCACATTATAATATATCGCCAATGTTGGGCTATAATGGGAATTAAGTATATGTCCGATTACAAATAACTAGGAAAGATACCATTCACTGTTGGTAATCATGTATGGGGTTCCAATGTACCGGTTTATAGTATACAAAAAAACTGCCATGCTATGGAGTATGGTGAATGTTGTGTTGCATTACCTGAAAAAGATCAAAATGAAACATTTCGAAATTCGGGCAAAGAACCTTCGTCAGGAGGTCTAGACGTGCATATATATCGTTGGTACATGGTTGCGTACGATTTTTATTTACGAGTTGTGAAGGATATATCGCTGAAACGAACGAGTGCATGAGGGAGCCGTGAACAAGCGTGTTTAAGAGACTGAGTAAAAACCGTAAAAACGAATCAACGATGAAGTAATTTCTTTACTATCATATGAGTAAAGAGATAAATATTAGTGACACTGACTGGCAGACTCATACTCGGGTTCATATAACGAACGATACGAACTGCTCGGCTGCTGCACAACGAAACCTATTAATTAATATATTCAACTCGGGTTCATATAACGAACTGTCGACTGTATAGTTGACTGTCTATAAGACTATATATAGCCTCAAAAGCAGATTTCTTGATACCGTTTAATTATTTCTTTATTTTCTTGCTAGCGAAATTCCAATGAAAGAGGTTTTTCTCTAGCATTCTAACCTTGAGTCAGTTGAGTGTTTTCTTGATATGAATATAGGCAATATAGGTCGCAATTTGTTTGCAAAAAAAAATACATTAGAAACTCTTCCCTGCATATTGAATCAATTATGAGCTAGCGCGAATACCCGCGAAAACGCCAGCCAATCAAAACGCTGAGACAATCGTCCTACCAATGTTGATACGATAAATTTCACATGTCAAAAATATAGGACTGGCATGCTGCTGTATCTGAGCCTGAGGATTGATTTGACTGAAAGTGAACAAGCAGAACAACTATAGCATGTATTAGTCACGTATAGATCATTATTTAATTCAACTCACATAAAATGGTATGGTTGAGCTCCCCCAACCCTCATCCTACAACCCACAGTACAATGTCAATGTATAGTTTATTTTATAAGTATATAGACTATCGACAACCATATACTGAAATGTAAAGAATGTTTATTCATTAGCGTATACATGCAGTGCCTCCAAGCAGGTGACTGGGAAAACAACGGTGGCGGCAACAGGATAAATTGATATTATCCAAGTAAACCCAACGTATTGATATAGACGTTGTCGTTAATCTTTACTGACTCTTAAGAGTATCAAGACAATTTGTTATTTAGCTGCAACTTGTTAACTGCATGAAAACATTTTTAATGGTACTGAATTTTTTTCGCAACCTTATCTTATATGCTTTTTCTTTGCCTTTGGGCTTGTTTAAATTAAGTCTGACTTGTAATTAAATTTTAATCATGATGATGCGACGCCATGTTTCATAGCATTAAAAAATTAAAATAACGGTAAGTTTTGCGGATTTAGTAATCAGTATAAATTATCGGCAGATTTGACTTCCGTAACCTCTCACTGGCTCAGTATGCATCTTTCTGCGGACAGTATCTGTGAACCTCTCTACTATCGATTCCAGGGCGAGACTTGGAACAACGTTCGCGCGAAAAGCACAACACGAAATAGCAGCACGAAAAGTCGAAATGAAATTGACAGTGACACATGCTAAACGGTTTTGTTCACGAAACATGCATCATGCATGACGTTGTTCAACTATTAAACTCTAGAATATGCTCAAGATCTTTCCAGACGTACTTCCTCTTTATTTCCTGTCTTAAGCGTATTAAGCGGAATTCCGAGTTATACTACAAAGGTTTTTATCAATAACATGTTTCCCAAGTCAAGAGCCTAACCTTAAAATTAAATCAATTTGGTACTTTAGCCTTGTATAGGATTGCCACACAATGAGTGCAATATCGTGCCTGATGGTGACTACAAACGACGACACTACTCAGTAGTTACTAAACATGGACTTAGAAATCAAACCGATGCACTTTCCGTTTATTCAAAGCAATTAATATCCTTAGACTGCTATTGAAATTGTTTGCTGAAGCATAGCTGAATATTGATTATTGACCTGCTTACACATGTAGTCTTACTCGAGACATTAGTTTTTTCATCGAAGAAGCAGTCCTGGCTGGGTTACGGGATTTTGTAACTCGTCCTAATTCGTAAAAGGAAAGATAGTTCCATATCATGGTCTCACAGACATCAGTATCAGCTGCACTGTGAGGGGGTAAACAATCAGTAACAATGACAACTTGGTAATCACCAATTAATTGCTGTTCGGAGGAAAGAAAATGTTTTTATTCTCTTCAAAATAATCCTGAATGTCAATACCGCTCAAATAGCAAATCGACAGCTTCTGCTTAATCGTTTTCGCAAGTAAATCTATATTAAATTCCTTGGGATCAAATCTTATTTATGAACGAAGATTAATTTCCATGACTATATTATAACTATAGGACCGTCTGTCGGCTGATTGGCCGTCCTGTTAAAAGGAGTATGAATATACCATGTACACTCAAAGAATTTGTTAGTCTTATTTTGTTTCTTGTTGCATCAAGCATTAGTTTTAAACTACTTATTTCGTTTGCCAGTTGAATTTCCACACTGTTCGGGTTCAATTTAGTCGATAATCTGATCCCCTAGTAACTTGGAATGTGATACAGATTAATTAAACAAACTTTGGCTGAAACAAATTGCTACAATGTGAGAAAGTTGTTCGAAGTTGTGTACTGTTCATGAATTCGTTTTGATACAGTAGATTACAATATATTTAACAGAACTGAGTTACAATTTATATAACTGAATTAGTAATTAACAGAAACTGCTGTCAGCTGCATAAACTGGCCTCATTTTCACTGGCCTAGAGTTCAATGTCTTTACCGAGTGCATGGGCACAACATGCAGTGACAAGTGTCAATAATATAGGTAAAACAAAACTAAATTATAAAAGCACACAGCATGCAAGCAAACCGAAAACAGAAAGTAGCACAAACAGGTATTTCCTTTTAACAAGGAAGTGTTTCCTCGGATATTTACGTTCAATATGTCTTATGACATGTACACCGTATTGGATACCATTCTAAACGTGCCAACACTTGTGAATTAAGTTTGGAATATTTCAAAGATAGGACTAAGTATAGACTACGTGGACACCATATTGGACACCATTCTAAACGTGCCAACACTTGTGAATTAAGTTTGGAATATTTACAAGACAGGACTAAGTATAGACTAGTTGCATAACAATTCAATAACAATTACATGTAAGCTGGTTTAATACAACACAGTAATTTCGTCGACTAATGGATAACTCGATTTTTGGTGAAATTTGTCATATGGGTGGTTCACTCCTTCATACATGACTTATACCACTTGGCTCTATGTCAGTTGGAATGGTAGGATGTGCTGTTACCAAGCTTAGTCTGAGACTAAAACAACTAAGAAGCCCATGTCACAATAATAGTCTTTCCAAGTTGATAATCTCCTTACAGCTCGCTCCTTGATGGTTACTTAATTTTACCAATGCCCAACAGTCAGCAGATGATGAGACAATAAGTAATCAATACAACCAAATTAACACTCAATGGAAGCAGTTCTGTCCTAGCAGTCTGCCAAATAAAAATTCCCTTTAGCCTAGGGATCTCAAGCCAAAACCTTATTGTAGACCTATTACTTCTATTTCAATTTAAGAAGTCCGAGTGTAAGTTATGGATAACATGTCAATATTTGAATCTCAGATTTATAATTCACACGACAGACACCCACACATGGGACAAAAATGTGAATATTGAAATATAGGATGAAATGTCTAGGGAAAATGAGACATGCACCAACTCATGTTATTATTATCTGTAGTAAAACAAAAAGCAATCTGGGTAAATCTCAAGCTTTTCTATTAATATATTCAGTCTTTTTACAACAAAATATTCCTTATTATACTCTCAGTGTTCAATTGGAATAAAACTATACAATTCTTCAATATATATATACTCTCTGGCACCCAAAGTGCACATATTAAACACCTAATTATTATACAGATTATTGTGAAATTGCAAATAATTATACCTAGTTGTTATGACATTTTACATCCAATTATGATATTAATTATAATGTCTCTTCATATGTAGTGATAAATGATCAGATCTCGAAAAACTTCGACTGCATGTTGGACATCTAAATGGTTTGATTCCTGTGTGTTTACGATAATGTCTTGTGAGTTCATCAGAGCGAGCAAAACGCCAGCTACAACCTTTCCAATTGCATTGATAAGGTTTTTCCCCAGTATGTGTTCTTAAATGTGCCTTAAGATGCGAGCTTTTTGTATAAGACTTATCACAACCCGGGTAGGTACATGAGTGAGTTCTAGCTAAAGCTTTCTTACGTCCTGTTCCCCGTGCATTCACATCAGCGAGTGGTTTTAACTCAGCACGACTTTTATTATCTTGGGAATCTGCTAGAGTTGTAGTAATGACCAGTGGTAGACCGGCTGGCAAGCTTGGCATCACTTTACGCGATGAATTATTTATTGCAGTGGCTTTGCTCTCATTCTTCTTCGGTCTTTCGATCTTCTTAAGGCTGATTGATGTATTAGCGATGCCAAAGTGTTTACATGTGATCTCCTCACTATCTGAATCTGATGAGCATGCTTGACTCTCTAGAAAGGTTGACCTGATCGCTTCCACTGCTAACACTGCTTCGTCTGTTATAGAGCTGCTTTCTGAATCAGCATCTGAGTTCGAGTTAAGCGAACAAGCACTGCCCCAAAGATCGTACGGTAGTGTATCATCTCGATATTTCTCAATAAGATCCTCGGAGTAGAAATAATGGTCTTCCCACATTAATATTTCTCGTGTTATTGTCGAATTTCCAATTTCTTCCAGCATGGGATCAAATTGAATTTCAGCATCTTCTAGCAGCTAAAAAAATGATAGCAAAATACTTGTAAGCAAAATGTAAAACATGCAAGAGATTTGGGAAACATTTGCCTGAATATCATGTAACATATAATACGCTGACAGAGCATACACTAGGACATGACTTAAACTATGCTGGATTCTGCAACGCAATTCTCTCTATTTTGTTTACCTGTTTCACTCGTCCTTCAGGGCTTTCAACCCGGAGTTTGCCTCTCTTCACATTCAAAGTTACGGTGGAAAGAAGAGGATCCATCGCCAATAACTTGAACAGCAATCTACACTACAAACTGTCACCAGACAAACTCACGTTACGCTTCGCTACAAACATGGATTTCGATTTAGAGCGTATTTCAATACTTCCGCTAAGCTCTGATTGGTCAGTTCCAAATATGATAATAATTGATAATGTCCCGAACCTTCATTCATCGTTGAGTCATAACTTACTGACCTTATATGGAAGTTACAAAAATAGTAACAGCTGGCTGCCGTATAAAATGAGGCAGCGCGGAAAGTGAGGCAGATATAAACATGATCGCTTCGGTGTCGGGTCAAAGGGCACTGTGAAAAGTCGAGAGGCAAACAAACTCAAACAAGCACAGCGTTCCCACAGAACATTCTTCGAAGTTCAGGTTTTCTCTTTGGATTCGATTACCGAATAAAGTTGACTTTTGCGTTTGGTTTGACGGTACTTCGAAAATTGCTACATCTTTGTGATAATAGAATTTAGAACTTGTTTTGTTATTCAATATGAAATTTGAAGAAGCCATATCGGCCATATATTTACGAAAATTTAGCATTCACACAATAATTGCAGTGTACATAATCCTTGAAAGGCTTGAAATGTTACATATTTGGAAATGTAGCTTGTATCCTTTTGGACGAGCATGAGAGTATCGCTGTATCGCCGATTAACAACATTGAATTTAAGGATAGGATTTAATACACTTCGTCCAACGACCCTCTTTGTCAGACCAAATAATTGTAATATCATCCGAACAAATTTGAAAGTATTCATTCGGTTTATATAAAACTATATATTTATACCTTCAAGGGACTATATCATAAAAATTTCAGGAATGCGTATGACAATTAGAATTTCTAAAGTCGGAGTTTCAGCTCTGGTTTTAATAATAATATTCAGTTCCATCCTGTTCCTGTGTTTTTTGGTCGTATAAAGTTCGGCTGATTACATGGAGAGTTTTCAGTCAGGCTTAGTTTCAGTCCCGTTAAAGTGTCAGCCCGGTTAAAGTTTCAGCACAGCCAGTGATACACAGGCCACATAGCGGTTGGAATTTCAGCTCGGGCTGAAATTTAATAATAGAGCTTCAGCCCGGTTTGAGCAATCCAGTTTCAATTAATTGTGAAACAGATATTCAGCTGAAGTTGAAAACTCTTCATGTAATCGTCTCTCAAAAGCAGAAACAGGTTATACAATTCAGAGTGCCGGCTATTTGTAACTTTTTAGTTTTTATCCGAAAACTAAATTCATTGTCATTGATTTTAATCGTTCAGCATTTGAATGATAGCATTATTGGCATTTGCATTGCAACAGCTTTGCGACCTTTGTCTTTCAGGTCTTTAGACAGGTGATATTACAATGATTTTCCCGTACCGCGTGACAAAATTTCAAAAACCTATCTTTGTCAATGACTATGAATCTTTTCAAGATTAGAATGAACTAAATAATTAAATATGTGGTTAGTAGCAAAAGTTTCCTTTTTTAAATGTTTGGTCACTCTTTGTTTTCATAATGGCTTGTTACATCATGTTTTGTCGGCATATTTATTCCTTATTGGTTCTTCTCATCCTTCTGCAAACCTGGGCTTGGCAGGTTATTTCCTGCTAGTGTTCCGCCAACGTACTATAGACTTATAGACTCGAAACAAAGCAAAATCGGTTTATACTTGCACTGAAGTAATGAGTGAATGACGTTGCAATATATTATGTTCCATTGTCTCAGGATCAGTCACGTGTATTCTGGGTTTTCTGGCAGATCACTGATGATGAGTTTTATAATGTCGTTTAAATTATGATGTCATTTCCTCGGTTCTTCCAAAGCCAAAGATTTCTCGTGGGTAAAAATTTTGTGAAATTTGGCGTTGACGTCTTTATTTTTAGAGTGATTATAAATTAGATTAAATGCCTGAGTATACGGTAAATCTTGAACGGTGCGGCTGTGCCAGTGGCAGTGCCAGTGTAGGTAGTGCCAATAATAAGAAAGCTTGGGACTGATAGGGATGCAACTAGCTGAAAAATACAAGAAGAACTTCGACGTTTCGAGCGAAGGCCCTTCGTCTTCGTCGGAAAGTTAGTAGGGCCTATGCTCGAAACGTCGAATTTCTTCTTGTACTTTTCAGGTAATTGCATCCCTATCATTGTATCAATCCGAAGCTTTCTGGAGTATAAATGCATGGCGGGAAAAGTGTCATTAATACTGAACTGAGAAAGCGGTGAATCGTTGTGGGCCTCTTGCAGAAGCAACAGAACATGAGCTATAGTAAAGTTAGACCTTGGTGCCTCTGAAAGGGTTTTTTATTTGGGAATTATAAAGGGCGCACGAAAATGCGTTCCTTCCGCCTGCATTTCAAACACCCTTGTATGATTAGGCGACACACTGTATATTAACTTCCGATATGCAAAACATGTTAGAATGTAACTGGGTGTCAGAATATTCTCGAATACTGAACATATTTTAGGATTAAAGAAGCAACTAGTATTACTGTAGACTCCAAGTCATGTCGGTTTTTCCGAATGGTTTTTATTTGGGAGTTATAGTAACTATGGACTATGGTACGTCCATGCTTAAAGCCTTTTTTTGGTTCATGGCAAGTGTGAGTTTAATAACTCACAAGCTCTATGCAAGTTCTGTCAACCAATCACAATGGTCGACAGTCTATTTTGATTAGAGGCACTGAAACACTCGCTGGAAAAGAGTTTTTCCACTCATCGGTGGAAAAGAGTCTTTCCACTCATCGCATGCAGAAACCAACTCGCAAAGCTCGCTGCGAATACTTTAATCCAATCATAATTCATTCTCGATGATTCCAGGTACAGACGAAATTTTGATCTAGGCAAGAAGAACGAAATTCATTACCATGGCTGGAAAGAGCATTTTAAAATGAGTAAAATTGCAAAGTTTGGTTGCGAATTGTTGTAAAATGAGGAAAATATATAGCCCTGTGGCTGTGAAGTTCGCAAATTTTGTAGCCGATATATTTGCATTGCGTAATTGCAGGGAAAATGCGTAAATGAGCCGAAAGCCTGATTCACACCAGCAATTCTGTCGGCGATTTTGTGTTTCTGACGGGTGCAAATGAGTGAACTCGCACACAAAAGTATAGAGTCACTTTTCAGAAGTAAACAATTCTTAGTCTTTTGCATGTCATTCATTCGATCACATTTGCCAGGAGGAGAAAAATCGCCGACAGAATTGCTAGTGTGAACCAGGCTGAAAGTGGTTATTTTTACCACGCGTAATACAAATATATATACAGAATTTGAGAACTTTAGGCCTAGGGCTATATTTTCCTCATTTTACAAAAATTCTCAACCAAACTTTGCAATTCAGTACTCAGTTCTATGAAGACGCTCGTTCTAGCTGTGTGTTGGATTTGGTTCCCCTTGCCTTGATCAACATTTAGTCTAAGCTGGAATCACTCAGATGCAAGTACGCAGCGACATGCAGGTTGGTTTTGCGATTAGTGGAAAAGAGCCTATATGCATTGATTATTGACTCTAACGTTCATCCGTCCCCCTTAGGCGCGCCTTGGATTCAGCTGAAAGGGATAATTTTCGAGTTAAGTCTTTTGAAGTATTAAGCCTTTTTAAATTGAGAATCAGACATTTTGACGGGGGCTTAACTCGTTGAAGGCTTCAAGGAAAACGGGGTAAACTCGATCGAAGTCAGTGAACGATTTGAACGTTCATTTTAAGGTAACAAGTGGCACATTTAAACTCGCATTATGACAAATATAGTTCTGAAATATATAGTAAGGCAAATGAATTAAATAGAATATATCGTTTCCGATTATTTGTAAAGACAAATCATTAAAATATCTGCACTGATGTGAAAAGACTTGTCGTCTCTAGCCGGCCTCCTCCGTCGTAGCCTGAATTCAGACTTCGCTTCTTTACTTCGAGTTAAGCCCCTTACTTTCTAATTCAAATTGCGAAATACAGTGTGAGTGATAGGACTCTGGTGAAAATTCCATCATTTGAGGTTTAACCCGAGACACACCGGACGCCATTCGATCGACAACGCGACGCGCGATTTTTCGATTTTCAGTGACCGATAACTTTGATCCTAGTTTGAATTTTCCAAATATTTAGAAGCGCTATAACATTTTGAGTTATTTGGTCTACATATCTTTCACAATTTGCTCTCATTGGCTGTTTTACTGAGTAACTTTCAAAAACTAAAAAATCGCGTCACGTTATCGAATCGCGTCCGGTGTGTCTGGACCTTAACACTAAAAATTACCCAACTTCCCTCAGGAAATACGTCAAAGGACAAATGTGGAAAAAAAGGATGGCATATCAGTGAAATGCGTAAGTCGTAACTTAGAATTTGCAACGAGGGATATCCGTCTATTGCTATAACATTTCCCGAGGACGAAGCCCGAGGGAAATTCCATCACTGACGTTCTGTAAATAATATGTTAAACAAAAAATATCGCCCATAACCTACCGAGAACAAATATAAGCTCTCAAGTAGAGTCGAGTATTTCCACATCTTTTTCTGTCAGTCAAACTATTTCATTTAATGTCCAATCAAAGACCCAACAGTCAACACTACTGGCGAACACATCAGCTGTATACTATATTACTATTCTGCTTAGTATAGGGCTTGTTCATATGAGCCGGGCTGGCCCGGTTAACCGGGCTGCTTGCAAGTGGTGAGATCTCGCTTCGTATATTGTTTTTATATGTTTTTGACATTTATTTTTACTATGTTTTTGAGATAAATGGCCAGAAACGTCTCGTGCTTTTGTGCACATTTTGCAGAATTCTTCACTGACTAAGTCCATTTTTTCGCTATTTTGTAGTACCGTAAACCTCCGAATATAAGCCCCCCTGTATCACCACCGCTCACCTCATTCCAAATATAAGCCCACCCGAATATAATCCACCCGAATATATATAAGCCCACTTGTTTATCACTATTGTTTATCACTTTTACCACTATTAATCTCTATTATTACTATGCTTAACACTTGTTAATCACTATTACTATACTTGTTTATCACCATTACACTAACACAAAAGATTGTCCATGTATAAGCCCCCCGTATATAATAAGCCCACCCTTGTATAAGCCCATCAAAAATCGCTTACGAAAGAATATAAGCCCAGGGCTTATAATCGGAGGTTTACGGTATTAGAATTGCTTCTTTTCTGCGTGTAGGATCCGCGGATTCAGCACGGTAATATTTTTCATCGCCACATGGGGGTTGTAGTACACCACTAAAGTTTACGAGTACAAATCTACAATCTACCTGTTACGCCGGGCCTTTTTATACGGTATTTTATTAATAGTATGCATCTCAAATTATTATATTTACACTTTTAAGAACTACAAATATCACATCTTTATAAAACTACATTAGTACATAATGAATTAATGTTTATCATTTATCTACGCCTGCGGTTCATTAATTTGTATAAAATTAAATTCAGTATAAAAGTAAATCAGTCATATAAACAAATACTGCAGTTTAAATTAACTTATCGAAAATTCACGATATAATTAGATCTTTTGGCTCAACAGAATTTTTAAAAATAATTGTCAAAATAATAGAGTATACTCAAAGAAATCATTTATATATGAAATAATATTTAGGGGTCACCGATGTCGTTTACGAGTTAAATTACCTTAAAGCCAAAATATTCGCCATTTTGAAACGTCATTGTTGCCATAGCAACGGCAGTTGCGTAACTTATGTGAAAAAGTTCAAACCCTTTATATGTTGTTTTACATCAGTAAGATACTTTTTGTTTTTCAACAAGTAATAATTCTCCAAAAATACGGATCTAAATCGTGAATTTTCCATTTTAAACAACTATATCGAGCCACCTTATTAAATCCTTTATTCCGGTGTCCCAGGAAATATGGCCCCTCTTCGAAAATCCCCCCTCCCTCCTTCAGGACCGAACGATTAGAAGCAGATTACTCATGAAAAATGAAAATTATATGCAACCAAATGTACTATACAGTGGCGGCGGAACAGGGGGGGCTAGGGGGGCTAAAGCCCCCCCAGAAGTAAAAGTGGGGGGGCTAAGCCCCCCCAGAAAATTTTGTTTTCTCTGGAAAAATTTTGATAATTAAGGAAAAATGTAGGTTATTTTTGGAAAATTTAGGTATAAGGCTAAATAAAAATAATAGCCGGTTTCAGGTTTCACAGTCATGTTTTATATGGGTAGGTAGGTCGGAAAAACATTTTATTTAAAAAAATAATTTATCTCAGGTATGCAATAAATATAAGTTGAAACTCATTATAAACTCTTAGTTTATATTGCTTTTACATCAGGTTTTCACCTGCATACATATAAAACTTGACATGCAAGGAAAGAAGTAACAACTAAATATTTAATGGCAACAATGTTCAGTGTAAACGTTGAAATGTCAATAAAATGTTTATGGTCGGTCATATTTCTGACAGGTCGGTAGGAAACCTGAAACCAACTATTATTTTTGTTTGGCCTAAGGGGAAAAATTTGGGATATTTTGTTTAAAAATCGAGTATGTAGGTGGGGGAGGTCACAGAAAAAAAATTTAGCCCCCCCAAACTGAAATCTGTTCCGCCGCCCCTGGTACTATACTGCTTAGTTTTCGATTACATGTGCTACATTATGAAGGAAAGTGGAAATTAGTCAAGATGAGCGTCCAAAATGAAATTCGAAGTATATAGTATCTGAAAATACGTGGTATAAGTCACGCATATAGAGTTTGCAGGTTTCAGATAGTCAGGTGAGTTTGTAGTAAAACGGAATACAACAGTCAACACTTTTTGGACCATAGTTTTGTCTTCATGTTTTGTTTCGAAACTTTGCTAATGACAACATACCTAATTTTAAGAATTTTTTATCACTGCACATTTTTGTGCAACGGTTTAGCCGAGCAGAAGCACGCCATGCAGTGCCGTAGCTAGGATTTACAGTTGGGGGGGTTGTATGCCAAAAATTTCCGAATGACTAAGAAAATTTCCGAATATTCGAAAATTTTTGGCGACCTCCCCCCCCCCGTCGCCAAAAAAATTTTGGTCAGTGTACCATTTTAAGGGTCAAAAATTTTTTCCGGACATACCAAAACCCAGATATTAACTAAACATTGCCTGAATCTCATGATTTTCGTACAAAAAACATATACTATTATTTAATTCGATAATTTGGCAGTCATCATTTCAATTTCAATTAAATCATTCTCTTGTGTTAATTAACAACTTATCAAAGCAAATTTTATCACTGCACATTTTACATTTTATCACTGCACATTTTACTTTTATCACTGCACAAATTGGTTATCACTGCACACTAAAATTAGGTATGAATGACAAGTTTCTTACACGTTTGGAAATTCCTGGCGCGTGGGCATGCAACTCATGGTTGCAGTATCATTCTAAAAATTAGAATAGTTGAAAGATTGCGACAATAGCAATCCGCGTAAGTAAAGCATAAACGCCATTCAAGGTTTAATGAGCTACACAACAAAAGAAGAAGCTTTTTAGGTAACCATGAGTTGCATGCCCACGCGTCAGGAATTTCCAAACGTATAAGTAATTTGTCATTAGTAAAGTTTTGAAACAAAACATGAAGACAAAACTATTGTCCGAAAAGTGTTAGTAACGTGTGGTATTCACTATTCCGTTTTATTCCAAAGTCACCAGACTATCTGAAACCTGCAAACTCTATATATGCGTGACTTATACCACGTATTTTCAGATACTATAATTCGAATTTCATTTTGGACATTAATCCCGACTAATTTCCACTTTCCTTCATAAATGTAGCACATGTGAAACAAAACAGTATAGTACATTTGGTTGCATATAATTTTCACTTTCACGAGTACAGTAATCTGCTTCCAATCGTCCGAAGAAGGAGCCATATTTCCTGGGAAATTTGGCCGGGAAGGGGAATTTTTTTTGGGGGGGGGCTTATTTCCTGTTACACCGACATAGTCTCGAAGCGGCCAAGTATCATTTGGGTATAAAATTGACCATGTATCATTTGGATATAAAATGGCCTAGCTTATAAAAAATACGATTGTTATATCTGTGGACTATTATTTCTATATAAAATTCCATGCATGCAGATTATAGGAGGCGTTAATGATATTTGTGATAAAGCAGCGCTTCAACACTTTCCATTGCTCGTCTTTCGTAATGCACAGGATCACGTTTCGATACTGTTCCAGGTGGGAATGAGTCAGTCATTGGATACATATCAATAACATCAACACCAGCTCTACACATAGCTGACATTGCATACGCATTGTATAAAATAATTCTTGGAAAAGTTAGAAAACGACGAACATCTTTGTGGGGATTTGGAAAACGTTCTCTAAAAAGGGCTGTGGTTGTCCTCCAAATAATTCTACCCTTAAACTTGCTTTTCTTTCGTTTAGCAAGGAATGTCTCTAGGAATCCGTCAATAAGCTTTTTGTAATTGGTAAAATTCACAGCCGCAGCAAAATGAATGCCCCAGTTGAGAATAATTACACTGTGTTTATCCAACCTTTTGTTGTCCAATACCTGGAACGTCGGAAATTTACGTGAGTTATCGTAGTTGTACACTATCACGTGAAAATGGAAATTAAAATATTTGAAAATGGTCGATGTAGGCCTTTTTCTTTTGAATTATGAATCATCGAAAACTCGAAACTTTGAGTTCTGTCAAGTTAAATGCCCAAAAATTAATTTTTCGGTAATGTAGTTGGCCAAATTCAAGGTCCATGTCACAAAGCTAGTCTACTTCAGATGTTAATTAGCAAATTAATTAAGTTAACACATTTTTAATACCCATATGAACATTTCATGCATGCTCGTCAATTCAGCATTGACAGGTTTCAATCTGATCAGCCAGTGATGTTATTGGCCCCACCACCCAGCCCCAGGGGCGTAGGAAGTATCAAAAGATCGAGGGGAGGGGCACCGCCTTCCAGAGGCACTTTTGGATAATCGAAGGGGCACCTAAAAAAAATTCCCAGAAGTTTCATACTTAATATACATTTGCCCAAATTCCGAATTACAACGTACATTGAACATTTTTGACGAATATTTTTCAAAACATCAAAATTTCGAAACAAAAGGTATTTACAGCAACATTAACTTGTACAAACTGAGGGCAATTTCATTACAATTTTAAATTTTAAATGCTCGTTAGTCGACTCGTTACAAATGTTCAATATTCAACGGAAAGACAATACTATCAGGACTGTTCGGTCAACCTTATAAGCCAACAACGGCAGCATCTTGTGTTAATTAAAAAATGCAAAAATAATGTAGAGCCACAAACTGGCCAAACATCAGTATTGCCATGTTGCAGTGGATTAAAACTCGTACATTTCCCCCCACCAATATCACCGGTAGTATACTGCCCCATTTTAACTGCAAAAATATCAATGAAATACAGAAACCTTTTTTGAGGTTCCACGTGTGTTTTGCGGCGAAAAATTGTTTCTGGCTTACCGACTTTCTCTGAAACATACCTAGAAAACAATGTCGGTTCCGGACCAATGCATGTTTCCTGGTGCCCAAGATTTCACTGCGTACGCTAACCTCGTACCTAGGGTTTCTACGCTTGTGGTTCTGATAGCCTGGGTACTAGGTTGCTATACGGTATACCAGCACTCAGACATACCCAGCAGGCGTACAGTTTACATTAGCTTTAGAGGGCTATAGAGTATAATACTAACATATCGGTTTCATTTACCTTATTTATTTCTCTCATTACTTTCTTGTGGTCGTAATCTTTTCCATCCAGCTTATCCTCACTTTCAACATTTTTTATATTATACACCCAGGAATACGTCACCTTACACTGCTTGAACACATTTTCACATATTTCATGGTAGGGGCCTGTTACCAGATACTCAGCAAATGATTTGGAAACCGAATCCCCATATAGCCACAACATACCTTCGTGGTCTCGAGGCTCACGCTTTATGTTCACTAGCTCTAAGGAAATTTTATGCAGGTAAAAACGTACTACGTGCTGTGTTAATAAAACTTAATTACCAGGTCGATCAATTCACCAACTGTAGTTGCTGAACTATGTTATAGTAGATTGCAGATGATCGCTTTTGGTGATGACATTAATTAAAGACAATTTATGCACTCAATTTTTTTTAAAATACCTTTCTTTTTTAAAAGGTATAACCCTGACTACATGCAGTAAGTATTGCATGTTATAGATGCGTAATACTTATTTTGACTGAATTCTGTGATTTGTTGGATAAATTTAAATGCAATCATATGTGCATGTATGTTCTCATATTTAACAAGGACTTCGATATTTGGATACTTCTTGCAATGTCTTTCAACTTTCAAGTACACATGGTGAACTCCATATTTTGTTGCGCATTCCACAGTGTTCAATATAACAATCGGCCATTTTCAGCAGTACGTAGAGCAGCGTTAATACGGCCGTCTACTGATTGCCCTGCACCGACGTTATGCATGGCCGACTAGTTTTGCCGCATTAATTTGAATAATTTTCCCCTAATCTATGCAAAACAAAAATGCAATATTTTACTAGTCTTGGGAAGATAGTTTTCAGGAATTATTGTGTAGCAACTAGAGAAACCGGCAGACTTTCGTAACGTAGTATAGGTTGCCGCCGGCTGGGAGATATGAATTTAAGTTTTAAACTTAATTACAGCACGTCAGATTTGCTAATCGAAAAATCGTTATTGGTTAGGGTCAAAACGTGGGTTGGTCTGATATGACATTCAATTAAGTTTTCAGGATTATATATATACCTTATTATAGGAAATTAACGATGTACTTTATTAACGCGACATAAATTAACGTGTCATCTAATTAACGCGAATTGCTTTCAGGTACTTCTAAAACTGATTAAATTAACGCGAATCTGACAGTTTATTTTACGCGAGTCGAAGAATATATACACAACAGCAAAAGTATAATATTATTTAGTATTTTTGCACAAGTGAACACTGACAAATCCTACAAATTGATTGGTCAAATTTGACGTGTTAAGCTGTTATATTCACCTATAGGTGAATATAACAAAACCGCAATTTTCAAAATGGCGGCTAGCAGTTGTGTGGCCATTATACTGATAAAGAAATAAAGCAAAATTAAAATAAATTCAGTCCGAAAAAACACAAAAATACTAAAACAATTATTCGCCTCAGCCTCGGTGAGGCAAATAAAACTGTAACCGTGAAAGTTACTTAACAATTATTCGCCGAAGGCGAGGTGATTATCGGTGAATAAAAACCGAGACGAAGTCGAGGTTTTTATTCACGATAATCACCGAGCCTGAGGTGAATAATTGTTTTAGTATAATTTCATAGGTGATTATTTGGAAAAAAATTTAAAAATGCACATTTCTTCGTCTTTCAATTGACAAAACGGCTTCGGCCGCCATTTTGAAAATCGCTTAGGTGATTATCGCGTAATAATCACCTCAACGGTAACCAATCAGCGTGGAGAATTTTCCATAATCACCTATGTAATTATACTAAAGTCATTTAAGCCAATGTATATTAAAATATATAGTTCAACTTAAGGTTCTGCCGACAGTGACAGTGAAGAGCTGGACTGATGTTTTTGTTTTGAGCAGGGGCGGCGCTAACCCTCTTCGAGTGGGGGGGTGTGAGTGATCTTTCGCCGACTGTTGTTTGGTAATTTTGCCGAGTCATTTGCCTATAGTGAGGGTCCTGAAGGGGGGGGGTCCCAATCCCATTTTCCACCTGAAATTTTGGCAAAATCCCAGTCCCAGTTGGATTTTTATTAGAAATCCCAGTCCGAGTTATTGAAATCCCAGTCAATAAAAACCCCTTTATTTATTGGTAGAATAAACAGTTTTAAGACCTTTTAAGCCACCGTGTGTGCAAGTGGCGGACATTTTATGAAATGTTGGGGGGGGGAGGCTCGTGCCGAAGGCACGGAAAATTTTTAAATTTGAATCCCGGAAATGGCATTTGCATCATTCTCAGACACGCATAATCAGAAAACCCAAAATTCCTGTCGGCATCCATTTTGCAGCCCTCGAAAAGTCCAAATCTCCGCATTTCTTAAAATCTGTTCCACGTCTTGGAGCACTATTAATCACGCATTTAATTTACGAATCATTGAAATCGGAATATAACTGCAACGTTACCTCCAGCCGGAAAATTCGAAAGTTGGAGCAAAATTTTAACTCCAGACGCGCGAAATTTGATCTTCAAACATCTAACGTATATACACAATAGACAATACCCGTCAGTTTTTAAACCTTACGCCGTAAAAAATTTGCATTGCTGCATGTGTGGTTTCTTTGATGCATGCTATTCGTGATATTCGGTTTTAATTCAATTATTCAGGAGGTCAATTTTGGTTTCTTCAGTGGTTATCTTTAGCCAATCCAGTTTTGCCGACTGAGATAACAATTTGCCGATTAGCTGACGAGTGGGGGGGGTGTTACACCCCCCCCCCCACACACACACCCCCTGTAGCGCCGCCCCTGGTTTTGAGGTTTAATATGATGTATTTCGAGTTAAAAGAGTTCGTGTTATATAAAACAAATCAAGGTCTTTTTAATTAACGATAACTAAAATTTGCATGCTTCAAATTAACGATAACATAAATTAACATTAATTAAATTAACGCGAATTTTTAAAATCCGCGTTAATAAAGTGCATCGTTAATTTCCTATAATTATATTGATCTATGCCGCCTGAACTTACCTTGAGAAAATGGTTTCCATGTGCCATTGATCCACCTCCCAAGTCCATCAGATATTAAACTGGGACAACTAACATCACAAGTGTTTTGGTTTCTGTCAAATAACTTCTTTCTTATCTTCTCCATTGCAACTATAAATGACAATTTTTTTTATTTTTTTTTTATTTGCTGATTCGCCGCGCCCAAGATATTGATATTGCACATAAAAGAAATAAACTATTTACAAGAAATGGGATAGGAGCCTACTATAGAAACCATATGGCTTTTTGTTTTAGGCCCCTAGGTTATAAATTTAAACTAATTAGCAAAATAATATGCAGCATCAGTTCGAGTGCTTTTAGGAGAAAGGAAAAAGAATAGTTAAATATTATATGATATGATAGTAAGCTATATTTACAATTCAATTTTTGATTTATAGTTTTTCTATACTTACAGGAATATGTTATTCTATTAAATTTAGTTGTGAGAAGTACTTTTTCATTATTTTTTTGAAGGAGTCGTAAGATTTAGCGGGTTCTTTATATTGAGTGGTAAGATTATTCCACACTTCTATACCTTTATTAGAGAGAGTGTGTTTTGTGTAATTGGTTCTTTTTGTGTAGCAATGACGAATTTCTTGTGTTATGATTATGAATTTTCCTATTGGTTAAAAAATAGTTTGTGAATAATTCTGGTAAATTTTTCAGATGGAAATATCGGAACATAAACATACTTGTTAAATAATAATTTATTTTGTATAAACTGAGAATTTTTAGAGAATGAAAGATTGGCTCAGAATGTTCAAAATAAGATTTGAAAGTCATTAATCTGACAATCCTTTTTTGAACATTGACTAACTTTTGAATACGAGATTTGTAGGTGTTACCCCAGATCAAATTCCCATAAGCTAAATATGGATAGACCAATGCATAATATATTAACTTTAAGGAGTTTAAGTTTGTAAAATGTCGCATCTTGGAAATAATTGCTGTACATTTGATATTTTTTTTTGTAATCAAACTTAAGTGTTCACACCATGTTAAGCATTCATCAATAACGATTCCTAAAAATGTTGTGTTTTTGACTTGTTTTATCGATTCGTTGTTGATTGAGATTTTTATATCATCTTTGGGTTTCTTATTTTTTTATCTGAAAAGGATAAATTTCGTTTTCTCTGTGTTAATGGATAGTTTATTAGCATTCAACCAGTCAGTAATTTTATTCATTTCGATTTGAATAACTTCGTTCAACTGTTTAAGACATGTATGACTAAAAAGAATGTTTGTGTCATCCGCAAATAATACAATTGAAATAAGTTCACTGCAGTATTGAATATCATTTATATATAGCAGAAACAATAATGGACCCAACACTGATCCCTGTGGGATACCACTTCTAATAGTCATTACCTCCGATTGTACATCATTATATTTAACAATTTGTTTTCTATTGCACAGATAATTTTCAAACCATTTTTTGGCCACTCCCCTTATGCCATAATGCTCCAGTTTTTTATCAGAATCCTGTGATTAATTGTGTCAAATGCCTTTGACAAATCAAGGAAAATACCAACAGAGTACAATATCGTAACAAACATGAGTATTCAGTCGGTATGCATTTCAATGGGAAGGAAGCATGCACTATTGAAAGGACAAGAGTAGAATGCGCATATATGATCATGATGATCGTCGATGCCGATATGCTTTAATTCAAAGTTTCTCCATCCTATATATAGATGCATGCAGTAGATTAAAAGGAACATTTGCGAGAGACGTTACTGAAGATTCACTCTAGCGAATGAATTTGATCTAATATTAAATCAAACATCGGCTGATATATAGCTAGCTTTGGATTTAGGAGCAATTCACACAAAGTAATCAAGATGTGAACCTAGTTTAGCCTAATACCTGTTTACATAAATAATAAATTTCTCAAGAGTTGGGTCGTGAAATCCGGCTTGATCAATAATCAGTAAATTTGACAAACTTACCAAGCATTCTTTTGGAATATTTTGGTTCAGGAACTTTCATCCAAATATATTTTCCATCGCGGAATGATTCCATGAGATAAGGACGATCTCCCTTCAAAACGCCATCGGGTTGGTTCTTTCCTTGGTAGCTTCCTGTTACAGAAGAAAGGATATAAAAATAAGACAGCTCATGTGGTTGACTGACGTGCGCCGATGACATGTATATGTGATATCAGTAGTTGTATATACACTCTAAAAACAGGTGTGTTCAATTACACACCAAGGTGTGTTTAATTACACACCAAGGTGTGTTTAATTACACACCAAGGTGTGTACATTTTACACACCTTCCTATACAATTTTAGAAAACACACCTTTGTGTGTTAGAAAACACACCATGATGTGTTAGAAAACACACCATGGTGTGTAACAAAACACACCTAGGTGTGCTAAGAAACACACCTGTATTTTACACACCTTTTCTTACACACCTTTGATGCATATAAGGTGTGTTCAATAACACACCTTTTGAATGAAAACACACCTTGGTGTGTTCGGGAACACACCTCATACTAATTTACAAAAACACATCTTGGTGTGTTAGATAACACACCCTACGCCGATTTTGGAAAACACGCGTGCACGGTGTGTACTGAAAAATGCTTTTTAGTAACATACAATAAATCCAATCATCAATCACGGTAATGTATGCTATAATATGTTTTTCGGATATATACAGTAGATGTAAATGGCGATATCGACTTTGCCGGCGATATCAAGTTTTACGTGTCTAATAACCGTTTGATATTTGTTGTGTAGTATTTTATTCTTTCGCATGTAGTAACAGCATTACTGGGACTATTTATTTTCTAAGAGATTAATCTGTCTTTAGCACACCATTAATATCTGAAATATAGCCGGTAACTGGCCTTTTGAAGCTCTTCGGATCGAAAGAAACGAAAATTCTCACGATGAGCGCGATTTTACAGACTGGTGCCTAGTTTTCGTACTACGCGCGCAAAGCTTCCCGGGATAGCGTCATTTATTCACACCGCCATTACGCCATATTTTTCAAGCCTTCATTCTGAATTTATGGTTCGAAAAATTCGCTTTTTTTAAGCGACGACGAATGATTTGAACGAAGAGGAAACAGCGAGCATGACTG